AAATTAATCTGAGTTTTTTATCTTTTGTTCATTTGCAGTTGATGCAATGGAAGGTGAGGCTTTAGTTATAAAATGTCCCCGATGGAGTTCAACTTTGAAATTCACCTGGTATCATGCAGATACTAACAAAATAATTCCCGAAGAAGAAGAGGGATCACGAATATTTTCCTTAAAACAATTTCTTTGGTTTCTGCCAACTTCTAGAGAGGATTCTGGAAACTACACTTGTTTTATGCATTTGTAAGTGCAACATTGAAAAGTGAAAGATGTAAGACTGGAAAAAAAAAACATGTTTTACTAATGCAGTCTAATTATTATCTGTGGACATGATGCCATTTTTTCATTGTGTACACCAATTCATGTAACTTTTCATTCTGCAATAGCTATTTTTATGACAGGTCGTTAAAAATCAATCTGTGACTGAACTACAATAACGATCCATATGTTTATAAAAGGCAAAACTCACATTTGTTACAAATATTTATATATTTGTATTATTTCATATTCCATATAAAAATAAGGAACGCTTATTCCATATAAAAATACTATCATTGACATACCTTTATTCCATTTTAAAGTTCAAATAATCGCACAAAGTCGGTCAACATGAGTGTGCAGGTGCATCCATACAAGCAAGGAGTATGTTTCCCAAGTCAGATTCGTTACCCAAATGACACTGGAAGAGGAAAAATTGTTTGTCCTACAATTGACAATTATAAGAATGCTACTATCATCCAGTGGTATAAGGTAAATACACCCCCGATAGTGCCAGTTGTAGATCAGATTACTGTGAGAAGCTATTTGCAGCCAAATAAAGAAAATTTTCTCTTCCAGGACTGCAGACCTCTTCAGGGAGAGAGATACTTCAAGAAAGAAAAATATATTTTTATTAACAACCCAAGGAAGGAGGATGATGGTTGTTATACTTGTCAATTTATCTACACTCATAAAGGAAATGTGTTTAATGTATCAGCAACAAGGATTTTCATAAGTAAGGGTAAGACAGTCATTTTGTATCTTGCTAAGATTAAAAAGACTGATGTCTACTTAAAGCAAAGGAAGCTCCTTTTGTACACTAAAGAGAAAAAGAGTTTATGCTTGTTTGTTTTATCTTCTTAATGAAACTTTAGATCAGCTTTTTTAGGTGAATTTTGTGGATGGGGATCCAAATGGAGCAAGATGGGGGTAAATTCAGACCTGGTCACGTTCAGCTTTTTACTAAAAGTCTCTGACGACTCTGGTTACGTACTGTGGTTGGTAGAGCTGTCTGGTAGCACTTATTTCTGAAATGAAGGGTCTCTTTAGTGGTCTGCCACAAAGCTCTGCTTTCTGTTTGTTCGAGGGGAGAAGAATTTGTAGTTAGTGAGGATCATCTGGCGGTCATTGGATCACTGGTGTGTTGATGGCCTACAACTCAATATCTTCTGTCCATCTTGATTAGCTAGCATTTATTTGATAGTAGGGCTGAAAAAACTTTTAGATTTATCTTGAATGAGACAAAATGAGTGATGTGTATATATAGACAGAAAATGAGTGGAGCTCAGTGATTACTGTGTCTTTGTTATTTTGAACGCAGCCAACATGGCTGAGATGTGTGGACTTTGGGGTGCCTCTAGGATGCAATCTCCTCAGGGAGGCTTTGTATTTGGATGACGGTCAGGGGAAGAGCACGCAGCAATCAGCAGTTCCAGATTGTATCAACTTGCAAGACTTCAAAATATGTCTTCAGTTCTGCAATCAGATCAGTAGAAAAAGAGTCAGAAGTGTTGTTGGGGGTTTGGGAGCAGGGGAGGGCTTGGGTTTGGGGTTTTTTTTGTTTTTGTTTTTGTTTTTGTTTTTGTTTTTTTCCCCCAAAAAATAGATAATGTTAATTTGCAGACTGACATCAGATCTTTTTGCTGTAGGGAGGCACCCAGCTTTGTGGGCAGAATGCAGGTTTGGAGAGTAGGAGCCTTGATTCCATTTTTTGCTGCTGTGCCCAGATCTCAGTAGCGGAGTTTGTTCTGATTATTCTGAGCTGGACAGAAGACAGATTTGAGCTGAGACCTTGTACAGTAGCTTAGGAGGTGTTTTGCCTTTCCTTCCCCTCTTCCCTGTAATGTCCTCTTGGGCTACACGACACTTCTCTGCCTAACATTTTTGTTTGAATGTACTTTCATCAAAACTTCTCTAACTGGTCAGAAATGTTGTTGTGTCTGGGTTATAATGAAAATTTCTGGGTTTTATTTGGCACAAAGGCATCCACATTTACAAAAGCCTTTGTTACATCCAGGCAGATTACTTCATTTCAAAGTTAATCTGACTTTTTCTTTTGAAATCATTGCAGAAAGAAGGGATTGCAACATAACGTGAAATCTGAGCTGGGTCTGTCATGGCTGCTCCAGTTTTTACTCAATTCAAAGTACTTAATGACAACTTCTTTGAGTTTTTATCGGCCCTTAAAATTAGTATGCTGATGAGTGGAGCTCCTGTGTTTTGATAATATTGGGTTATGACGTACATTCCTGTTGCCTTGCAGATCCACACTGACCCAGAGGACCTTCTGCCTCTGAATGCTGGCAGCTAAGAACTTAGCATAGTCAGCTAGCTAGGAAGTTACTGACTTTCTCCTGACTTCTTTTTTACCAGATCCAGCTAATGAAAATTAGAAACATTTAGGATGGGTAACGAGAATTGCTTTTCTGGCAGCCTGGGAAGCAGGGGGTTAAATGAGTTCCTGCAGATTTTTTTGGGAAATATGGTTATCGGTTTCGCTGAGGTGCCTTGAGATGGAAAACCTTAATGAGGGAAAGGATAGCAAGCAATGTGTTTGGAGTGGGAAATATGAGACAGTATAAAGGGCAAGAAAAGAAGAAATATGCATCCAGGGAAAAAAATCTTAAAGATCTGAATACCTAGTTCATGTCAAGCAGCTGGATGTAGTTTGGACCTGTCCATAACGATTATTAGTGGGGACGGAAGAGAAATATGTCAAAGGAAAAGTAGTGTTCCTTCTAAAAGGTAATGATAAGGGATGCTCAGTGTCAAGGCAGACTGGTGCAATGGGAAGCAGTTGTGTGCAGCAGTGGTGTGCAGACAGTGGAGAGAGAGAGGCCTGGGACATGCTCAGCTGTCAGGCTGCAGAGATGGGGGAAACAGAGGGGAACGCGGGCAGGCAGCTGTGGGCTAGAGGGTCCCCAGCTCAGATACTGAGAGTAAAGTACATATTTGCTATTTCATATCATGGATATGAGTAATTTCTCAAATGTCTGAAGGAATTTCTTTATCTCTTTTTAAAAACAAAATAGGCAAGTGAGGAAACACACAAACTTATAACTGCATTTGCTTTTTTTTCCACTCAGCAGCTAAAACAGTACTTCAGAAAATAAAAATGTTCCTTGCTCTTTATGTACAAAGGTAAAATTAAATAAATGGGGAGAAAATACTTAAACTATTAACATGTACAGACTCCCAGGAATATTTGGTCATAGGAATGAAATCAGATGATCCCAACAGACATGAGGACATGAGGAAAAATTTCTTTACTGAAAGAGCTGTTAAACATTGGAACAGGCTGCCCAGGGAAGTGGTTGAGTTCCCATCCCTGGAAGTATTTAAGAGACGTGTAGATGAGGCGCTTAGGGACATGGTTTAGTGGGCATGGTGGTGTTGGGTTGACAGTTGGACTCAATGATCTTAGAGGTCTTTTCCAACCTTAATGATTCTATGATTCTATGATTCTATGACATGTGAAACACTGTTGTAGTGTTAGTTTGCAATTCTGCTTTGGGATCTTAAAATATTAACTGAACATATTATAATCATTATCTTACAAAATGCTTTTTTGCAACTTTCTAATATGTGCTTTCTTTTCCTTCTTAATTTCTAAAGCAAAACACTCACCTCTACCTCCTCAAATTTTATTTCCAAAAGATAAAGATGTAATAGAAGTGGATCTTGGTAAGTATGGACTTTAAATTGTTTTTAAATTAACATTTTGTGACGGCCTAGCGAACATGGGGATCTTCAAGAAGATTTAATGGTGGAATTTTTCATTACATTTTTGCACCATAATGTTTACCAGATTTAATTCATCCCAGGCAGGATGTGAAGTTAGATATAACTGATGGGTTATTCAGGTATTAAGCAGCAATTTAATGGGATTTAAATAATCCATTCTACCCTTCCTGGGATAGACTAGGATTACTCACACGGTCAATTATTACATCCCAACTGAAGGGGTGACAGCTTCCATCCACTTCAAAGAGGGCTTTAGCTAAATTCCTTGAAACTGCTACCCCTAAGAGCGAAGGATGGACTATTGCAACTAGAGATACTCCTTGTTAGTTGCGGTTCCAGTCTGGAGATAGTGGCTGTGTCTCTGTTGATGAATGAAGGAGGGCAAGAGACTGGTCGCTGGCCCTGAGGCTGTGGAGCACTGCCTGGCTCATGTCCACATTGGCTAGCGTTGAGCAGACCTGTCTGGTTGGAAGATACCGAGAGGGCTGAAAGACAGGACCAAGGAGTGAACTTAGAAATAGCAGGTTGGAGAGCCCGCGATGCAGAGCTTGCTCCCTTTCATTTAGGACCATAGATGTTCTCAGTGATTCAGATTTACCCTGCGTAACTTGCAGCATCAGAGCAAGGTGCTTGTGGTAGGAGTGAGAGCCGTCTAGGGTTTTTGTATAGTCAACGGAGAAAGGTGGACCTCTCCAGAAAGCAACTGAGCCCATCTGAAACATAAATAGGTAGCCCAGGATACCTGTCTCCCAGGGCAGGTGGGATGAATCGGGGCCACTGGGAGAGGGGATCGCAATCACCACTCCACTGTTTCTGTCCTACAGCAAGACCTGTGGTAGCAGGTACTGCAGGTGCCCAGGGCCCTGTCTGAAGTGCCACGTACTCAGAGAGTTGCCATGTTGACTCGCATCCCCGTTCTTTTTTTCCTCTTTCCCCTGGTTGCTTTGTCACTCAGAATTAGATGATCTGTGCTCCAGGACCACCTTTCTCTAATGAGATGGTCAGTCTCTAGTGCTCTGTGGGCTCTGCTCAGCCCCCTGGGACAATAAGTAATCTGGCACTGCTTGCAAGAAGCAAATTTACATTTAAAAACCATTTGCTGTACTGGATCTATTGTCTCTTATTGGCAAAACTGAAGGGATTTCTCCATGCTCCCTAATACCAGTTCAGGATGTAAGTCATAAGATTTGTTAATAGATGCAGATTTACATGGAAATAATTTAAAGTGTTTTAATTATACCTTCTTTCAGTGCAACGGTGGCTCTTACTTTGGAATAAATATTTCCTAATGACAAATACTTATTAAGGAATTTCCTGTTTTAGTTTTGCTTGGACTGGTTTACTTTACTTTTGTCCAGCTTGAATAAAATCCAAGATAAGATTCTGCACACAAGACTTACGCAAAATAATACATACTGAAATTAAATTATGTTATTTCCATGTACATTTGTGTGTGAACCAGCATTTAGTTTCCATGTTCCTCAATAGTTGATTACATGGCTTAAGCATGACAGGTAAAGTCTCCGTTGCCTTCATCATAACAAATATAAATAATTCCTTTTGTAATCCTTGGTGTTGTATTAGATTATTTGTTAAAATCTCCTTTTGCTATTTCTTTTCGAGCCTCTTCTATGCGTCGTTTTCTCAGCAGAAAAATATGTCAGAATTGTTAAGACAAAAGTCACAGGTGGTATGAAGATTTGTAGGAAAAGGTGTTATGAGGAAAATAAAATTACACTTGTTTTTCATCAAGGAATGTTTACATCTCTCTGTATCTTGATTAGGTGCTTCTTTGTCTCTGAAATGTCAGGCCCGCCTGGGGATTAAGAAACAGCCAATGGCCATTGTCACATGGGATGTGGATAACATCCCAGTGAAATACTTAGATTCTTCAAGATTTCATGAAAACACTCGTTTGTAAGTACATATAACACAGAATAATCTTTCTTCTATGCAAACTGTGCCTAGCCATTAAAGCCAACGGTACCAGCTCCTTCTCTCTCTTAGTTTTGAAGGACGTGAGCAAGAATATTACAGAGAGACCACTTTGCATATTACTGAAATAAAAAAGGAGGATCTGCAGGCAAATTTCACATGCATAGCGGTGAACAAAATGCAGAACACAAAGGCCACGGTGATGTTACAACTCAAAGCACAATTTGAGGGTAGGATTTTTTCATTTTGTTTTCTTACACTTTGCACTCAGTTTGATATATGTTGGTGATTTTATTTGTTTCTGTTAGTAAGAAAGTTTCTGCTGGTAAGAAGAAAAACCAGCCTGCTTCCTCCCTACGTATTCAAGCCAGTGGCAAAATTCTCATGGCTTCATTAGGTCGTGAAAGTCCTTGGGGTAAATTGTGCTGGGGGGAGGGCATTACTCAAATGGTATCAGTGAGAGATTAAATATGCAGAGCAGGACAGTGTACAAGCCATGTGATAAGAATATCCCATTTCTAGGATATTTCTGCCCGGTGACAAATTCCCCTTGCCTTAAAGGCATGTGGCGCACTGGGATTTGAAGCACACTGGTATAGTGCAGTCTGCTCTACAAGATACTCAGGCTGTAGAGGATCCTCTGCAGATAAGAGCTGGGCAAGGAACTGACCTCTCCTTTGGTCATCAGTGTTAAAATGCATTGTGAGAAGCAGAGATTCATCTTCTTTTGAGAATCAAACTGTTGTTTCTACTGCAGAACCATGGCAGAAAATAGACAAGCTTCAAAAGCAAGAGTTTCAGCTGCCAGTTTACCAGTTTTCTTGCCTTCTCTCCCATACCACATCCACTGCAGTGCCTTGTTTTTTGACAACGTTAAGTGGTGTGACTAACCTCTGTGATGTCTGGCTTTATCCTCTCTCCCTCTGAGCACCAATGTGTTCACTGTGGGCCACACGAAAGTCTGAATAACACTTCAAAGGCTTTCCCTTGGTTTTGTTTTTAAATTCATGATTCCAGTAATTTCTGCCAGAGAAGGAAAATTGAGCTCAGTAAATGATGGGGACTGGGATGGTCTTTAGCTCCTATGGGAATTTTTTTTAATAGGGATAGCCAGATCTCTGAGAAAGCACTGTCACCAGCACCACTGAGTTTGATTCTTATGGCAGAGAATGTTATTGTGTCTGTGAAGGCACAACAAGAAACTGTGGTCAATGGTTTCCTTTCTTATCCCTTCAGATATGCCGAACCACCAAGGATCTTGAGAAGAAATCCCAAGGTCTTTAACAGGGATTAGTTTTCTGTAAGAGAGTGCTGGAAAGAGTAAAATCAAGTGTATTGTGATCACAGGGTGTGCACAGCTCCGTGTCCTGCAGTATTCTTGACTGTTCATAACTTCCTGCAGGATTATGGCTTCAAAGCATAGACCTATTTCCTTGCCATAGCCTAGACTAGAAGGGATGTAGGTGAATTATAATAGAGGATGGGTCATCATCCAGCAGGACAGCACCGATTCCCCCCACAGGAAGGTGGCAGGACATGTTTTGGTTGGGTATTACTAAATGAGTGCAAGCGTAGCATCACTCAGGAAGCTGGAAACACATCAGCTCTGCGCTGAATTATCTGAGTGTGGGAGTGTACTTGCAATGGGAGGGAAGGAAACTGAGTAACAGTTCCAGCTCACTCTAGTTCAGGCAATACAAGTCCTTTGTGGAAAAAAAACCCCATATTACAAACTACCTGAAGTAAAGAGTGTATTTTATATTTTGTATCCATCAAGTGATTCATTAAATCTGATTTCTGTTGTAGACAACTCTTTTTTTTTTTTTTATCCATAGGTCATCAGTAAATGTTCATGAAAGCTCTTGACTGTGACCCCCATTTGCTGCTGCCTGCTTTGTGTGGATGTCTGTCCCCTTCTCCTTGTTGCTGCTATTGTCAAGATGCCTGCTTCTGCTACTCAGCGCTGTTGGTGTAAGCAATGCTACATCCAGAAATGGTTGTGCTTTGCTTTAGTTTTCTTCGCTCACCCCTCACACAGCTGAGCAATATTTATGCTAAAACAATGACAGCTTGCCTCTGAGTATAATAAAAATGCTGTAGGGTTTTCTTGTGCCTCACATCTTGTAAATGTGTAATAAAAATGTGTACTCTACTTCTTTTTTGTGTTTTGTTTGTTTGCTTATTCTTAATGAAAAAAAACCTGAGTTGTGGGTTTTTTTTTTAAATATGTGGTTGTTCCATAATGTTTCCCACAGCACAAATTGTGTCTGCTAGCTACTATCCTGTTAATGTGCTTTTTACACAAGTTCCTGCTCTGTATTCTGACTTTTTTTTCAGGGCATTCAGTATGGGTTACATCATTATCATTATTTGTAGCACAGATCTGTGATAGGAAGTGAGAGATGAATAGGTGTCATGCCACTTACTACTCAAATCAGTCAATTCCGGGGGCGTTTAGTGAACTAGATAAATAGTGTTTAGCTGCACAGGTGACAGATTAAGGGAGGAAGCAAAGATGCTGTAAGCAATTGCATTAGAGTTGCTGTTCAGTCTTACAGCAACAGCCCCTGTCTTCAAAAACCTGCTGAATGAATGATTTGGCTCACCACATAGAAATTTTCAATGGGAACCAGGAATTAAATCTATTTTTCTGAGTCATAATCAAATACTTCAAGTCCTATTCCACTGTTGGCGATATCATTATAATTAACCCTAGCAATTTGCTTTGATAACAATTGCAGTCCACATAAGAATAAAAAATTGCCAGAGAGGAGCGACAAGAAAAGGAGGAGTTCCTTTCACAGTCAAGAGTAGTGAAAGCTGTTTGTTTTTGTCTCCATGGAAAACAAAAATACTCCCTTAATACTACCAGGAACGGATGTCATTGGCAAAGCTGCTTGACATTTCACAGGGGAAAAAGTGTATTTTCCAGTTTAGGATATATGCTGTGCACACTTGTATGTATTCACATATGTAAGTGAAGAAAAGTGCTGTATTGTGAAAAAAGTGTCTGTCCCAAGTGTCTTTTCACTTATCTTTTTAAATAGGAAATAAATGCTGCTGAGAGAAGCTGATCAGCTCTTTAGAAATGACCCAAGTACCTCAGTTATCAGGAGTAATGCAATGCAGTCAGTCCTTCTGGTGTGATCTGGTGGTATCCAGACTACGAACACTAAGTCTTTCAGACAGAGAAATCAGGCAAATTCTTTCTTTGTTTTAACAGAAGAATATTAAATTAAAAATGAGGATTTGGCTATGAAATTTGACAGTCTCTGCAGCTATGTTCTTGCCTCCATTAGGAGGTGCTAATGTCCCTGCATCTTTCAGCTGCTGCTGCTGCTGCATTCAGAGGTTGCTTCTCCTCCTGCTGAGGAAGATCTTTCTCCGTTTTTTTCTCATTCACCCCCTGCCTAGTCTTTGATCACCTCAGTCAACATGGAACCTATCCTTCCACACTATTTCCCATCCTTTCTCTCCCCTCTTTGCCTGAAGCTGTTTGGTATCTTCTGACTCCTTCACCAACACTTGTTCATAAACACATTCTTCATGTCTCATAATACCTCTTTACAGAAAATATTGGCTGTCTCATTTCCTCCAGATCTTTCAGTCCTATATCTCCCTTTTTAATTCCAGAGATGGTGATCATCCCACATTTTACATTCCCTCTCTGCCACAAGACGTGTCCTCTCATGTGCTCTGAGATCATCTGTGTAACTTGTTGTGTGGGATGCCTCTGGTCACTGTAAGGCTAAGGAATTTGCAACAACTTTTAATTCCCTTTTCTTCCACCTTTCCTGACAAAGATGTAGCTCATCCTGCTGGACACCTGGCAAGAGGCAGTCTGCCTGCCAGACTACTCCCAGTTGCCCTCCACAGCTGCTTGGTCTCTCTCACACTGGAAGATGCCACCTCTCAAGAACGAGAAAACTGATTTGCTACACTGTTCATGCCAGTTCAGCTCATTGATAACTGCAGTGGATCAATGCTCACAAAAGTAGCTCTGCTGGCAGAGGGGGGGGAAGCTGTTAGCTCCTGAGACAGAGGCAATGACAAGTAATTGGAGAAACACTGAAAGCGTTAAGTCCTTCTACCAGCAGAGCTGGGTCAGACAGGAACATCCCTTCAGCATCCCCTCTAACTTGTCTGCTAGGGAATACACGGGCTGTCTGAATACCTTCCAAGTCCTTCCCTTTCTATTACTATATAAGCTGCCACTAGCTTTTAGTTCCTCATCTTGATCCAGGGCTGGTTAAATAACTGGAGGTGGCTTTTCATGTGTCTGACCCACAAGCATCATCTTATTTCTCCCTGAGCATTCCTCAATTCTCATTCACAAGGAGGTGTAAAATACCCAGAGGACCACAAATCTTTCTGGTGTGAACACTCTTATCTGGAGAATGCCAGAAATTCCAGTCATTCAGAGCAGAGATAAAGTTCAGCCCAGAACATCAGCTCTGTTCCTCCTCAAAGATATTTAATGCCGAACCTACCCTTTTGGCTCATCTTTGGTAGACAGATGTGGACAGGAATTCCAGACCCAGATCTCTGCCTTTACTGTCTGGAAGTGTGTCCACCTTAGAAGCCAGAGAAGTTACAAAAAACTGCTGTTCTTCCAGAGTTTGTCAGGAAATTCTTCAAATGTTGCTTTCTGACTTGTTTTCTCTGTCCTCTCCAATATTGTTTCTTGTGAGCTGATAGTTCTGTATTCCCATTGCTCTTGAATATAAATAAATAGTATGAGAAGACAGTCTACTCATGAACTTTCTGCTGCTAAATGATGCAGCAAAGTCAAACAGAACAACAGGATCTGTTCAACCTTGTTCGGGGCCTCCAAAAGTGGCTTCTGGCCCTTGCCCCCATTGTGCTGAAGACAGCTGATTTACTCCAGAGAAACAAGAGGCTGAGTCAACCTTACTGGGAATGGAACCTGCTCTTCCAGGAAGACCGCCATGCGGTTCTTGTCTGATGCTTTACAAGCTGTATAAACACAGGAAATCTATTGCTTGTTTTCCAGTCTTCATCTGATCAGTGCAAAACAAAATGCAAAAGGCATTTTTTAGTTTGCAATTGCAGAAGCTGTTGTTGGAATCTGTTTCTTTTCTACATGTTTTATAGATACCCACTCAATGTGTTACAGCAGTATTTGTAATGTGGCGAGCGCACTCTCAACAAATGAAGCAATAAGAAACAGTGGCAATCTCTGATCCTTGGGTCGTCCTCACCAGCTGGTGGAAGGGGTTTTCTAATTTTGTCTGTGTGTGTGTGTATTGACCAGGAAAATGGATCAAAACATAAAATTTGAAGGGGTCCACAAGGACAAAGTTCCTTCATGGGCATCACGTGACACTGTTAAAACTACAAATTGGCCAACCTTTGCTATAAAAGAAACTGGTTGTTTTCTTGCCCACTTCAGTCTTATTGGAAGGCGGTTTCCCCAGATCTCCTAGTTCTGGTGAGGTATGCTACATCACATGCCTGATGTTTCTTTCTCCCTTTAAATGGCAAAGAAAAAAACAGGAAGAGTGTGAAAATCATGTCAAATTTACCTCGCATCCTACCAGAGGAAAGGGAAAATGTACTTGTAAACTCCTTATTTATATACCTTTTCAGTGGAATTTCTCAGGCACTAATACTTTTAGGTTGCCTCTGCAAGTACTACTCAATACACTGCCTTATTCAACATGTCCTGGAGAAGCCAGGGAACCTGTAAAATTCAATATAAGAGACTCTTCATGGCTAAATATTTTTTCTTATTTCATTCACTTAGAGCCAAGTCCAAGCGAAAGCTCTGAAATTGCTCCTTGGTGGTGGTCAGTGCCTTCACCTGGTAGCATACTTACTGGCCGCATACGATCTGCAACATTTTCCAATCTGTCTTGCTGCCTCTTCTGCAGAGGAAACTGAGACTGGCTTTTCAGCCTGCTGTAAGATGCTCCTCCTCAAGTGCCGGTGAATGGCCTGCTGCTGCAGCCACGTGTGTCTCGTGTGTTTTGCAGGCAGGGGGAGGAAAAGCCCTGAGCGTCTGATCCCTGCTCCGAATGCACAAGGCTTGGCTGGGTGGAGTTGCTACCAGCACATATAATTACCCTCCGTGGGCTGATATGCTGTGAAGGGTCTGTACAGTGAGGATGCCAGAGCTGACCTCCGTGTTTGTAATGCCAGAATGCTTGTATTTAAATTTATATGTGGCTAACATTCAAAGGAATATTTCTTTTCGCAGCTAAGATAATTCTGAAATTGCAGCATACCTCAATTCTTCTTGTAACACTGACAGGATACATCTTCTAGTGATATTCCAAGCCAGGGCAATTATTATATTTGCTGTATCATAGTAAAATAAAGACAGATGGGCCCTTTTATGCAGATGGGATGCACAATCTGGACATTTTCACGTGCATTTCTTTGTGTGATAATCACAATCTTGTCCTAGACTAGCTGTGTGCATACAATAGCACAGAGCTGGTGACTGCCATCCTTATAGCATCATAGAACCATAGAATAGTTTGGGTTGGAAGGGACCTCTAAAGGTCATCTAGTCCAACCCCCCTGCCATGGGCGGGGACATCTTCAACTAGATCAGGTTGCTCAGAGCCCCCTCCAACCTGACCTGGAATGTTTCCAGGGATGGGGCATCCACCACCTCTCCGGGCAACCTGTGCCAGTGTTTCACCACCCTCAGCATAAAAAATTTCTTCCTTCTATCTAGTTTGAACCTACCCTTGATAAGTCTTCATCTCTGAGTTGGGGGGTAGTCAGATTCAAGAGCTGTTCCATGAGGGAAGCTGGAACTAAAAGGGGTGGCTCCTTTCGTTCCCAATTTTCCTTACTCGTAATTGCTATTTTATGTTCCTTGACCCTCTTCAAAGGAAAAGGCAGGGGAGAACATAATCTGCCTCCAGCATAGTTTATTTTATTTTTGTGATCAGGACATGTTGTTTTCCTGCTTGTTTTGCGTACTTTGTTCTTATCTTGCAGATTTCATTATTTGCACGTTTCTCTGTACCCTGTTTGTGCAACTAGGCCAGAAGCCTCCGCTTGTCCTTTTGTGGACACTTACAGTTGTCATGCATCTGCTTAGATGCCTTACAAAACGCTTGAACACTGTTGCTGGTTGCGTTATTAACAATTTTACAATGTTACAAAATGCTTAAACATCATTGTCAGCTGTGGTATTTAGCATAGGTAGGTCTGGATTCAACAGAAGCAAATACTAATTACATACTGCTTAGTATGCTTCTAGTTTAGGGGTCTCTGTGTTGGCTACACCAGCTGGGGAAGGAAAAAGCTTTGTCATCTCTGTTGTGAGCTCCAGCTCCTTAAAGCTGCGACAGAAGTAAGGATGTGAGAGGCTGAGGCTTCAGCTCATGTGTTAACTTTTCTACGGCTAACAATATATTCCTCTTTTTTGCAGTGGGACTTCCTAACGTCCTCTTGATTGTAGGATCTCTAGTTCTGCTAGTTGCAATAGCAGCCTCCGTTATACTTTATCAGTCCTTCCGAGTTGATATCGTCCTATTGTATCGGGAGATATTTCAGCCCTACTCAGTCAAGGATGGTAAGAATTGAGCAAGAAAGTTCCTTTTTTTTAAGGAAAGCTTTTCCTTAAAAAAAAGCAAAAAGGCAAATCATATGAAAATGGATTTATTTAATAGTTGCTTACTACCTCATATGACACCTGAGCCTGATCCTTCGCTTTGTCATGCCTTCTGAAATCGTTTAGATGAGAGGGGACATACATAGCTCTGGTAGTGCTTTACATTCCCTTGTTTCCTGGGTTCTGTAGTGATGTGTTACATAAAAGAGGGATTCAGTCCTGGTTTCGTATTTTTTTAACAAAAATATTTGCCATGAAACATTGAATGACCGTGAAAATCCAATATACAGTGCTATTAACTGTACTTGTCATGTGCTCTCTAAAGCAAAGGAACTACTGGCTAATGTGTTAACAGGCATGTGTTAGAGCAATGCAGTTTTATAAGCCAAAGAGAAAGGTACCAATATTATGGAAGACACTTTTGGGGGGAATACATCCCATCCAACTTTAAGGGTGGACTTCAGCACAAGATTAAGACATCTAAATTTAGTCGCATGCAACGAAGGTGCACGCATGCAAGTTCCCATCAAAGACATGAAACCTGGAGACCTGGGGTTGGGTTTAGCTGTCTAACCGTAAGCAGCTAGTGCCGTTGGAGCTCCCTGAGGACTTAAGAGAGACCTGAACCCCTCTGCAGTGGCAGCTGAAGGGCAGGCAGTGCCTAATGACACTATGTGGTACATGTTTTTAGGTGACCAAATCCAGCTTCTCATCAGTAAAATCAACTCAGCTAACCAGGCACTGGGACCTTGCGTCGGTGGTCTAAACACGGGCATCTACAGTCATTTGGGATGGCCAAAAAAATTAACACGTAACACAGATCTGCCGGATGTTGCAGACTTCTGGAGCAGGGTCTGGAGATCAGGTAGGGTACCATAGGAAGTCTCAAATGGCACTAGATGCCTTTGTTTAGGCAACTCAGCTGGGTCCCTGGCATTTACATGAGAGTAATCTGAATCACTCTAGAATTCACTAACTGCACCGGCTAGTTCTCCACTGATTGTAGCAGGAGTTTAGACACCTAGCTTTCATGTAGACACCTAAATTTACATTTTTTAAATCTGAAGCTGCCTCCTACACAGATGTCTGCATGGTAGATATCTACAGCTGATCTAGTTACTTATGTTCTCTTTAAAGAGGAAAGAAGTATGCTTTTTAGGGCAGTTTCCATTTAAGAATATTTTATGATGAAATGAATCAGACTCTGGAAATGGCTATTTCTTTTTTATTGTAAGGATGGTCTGGACAAGAACCTCATATAACAACAAAAGAAGGGATATAATCATCTCCACTGGAAAGAAAGAAACGAAACATTTGGGATTAGAAAAAAAAATGCTATTATGGAAAACATATTTGAGAGAAATGAAGAGTGAAAGAAATATTTGACTTTGTACTTGGTTCTGACTGTAAGACTACTTCCTGAGTAAAGGAGCTTTTCACTCAGAAGTATGCTATGTCGTGGGAATGATGAGTAATTTCTTCAGGGAGGAAGAATTTAAGTGGAGTGTCTTGTCCTGAAAGACAAAGGCTGTTAACAGCCTATTGTATCACTGAAACAACAAATGCTGAGCTTCATCTCTGTTTCATGCTAATATGCATCGATCAATTGAATTCTTACTCTATATACTTTGGGATACAGCCTTCACAATACAAAGGTCAGCTTCTCCAAACTTACAAACACACAGGACGTAACAATTGAGCATGGAAAACACCAAATGTGCACAGTCTCTAATTTCCAAACATGCACCTGATGATATACGTTAGCCAGATTAGCAGGACCTTCTACTTAGATCTATTTCAAAGACTGATATTTTTTTATTTCTCTTCTAGCTTTTGCAATAGACAGCTCTAATTCATGATAACACAATACACTTTGCTCTTGTTTTGCCTTACAGATGGGAAGATATATGATGCATATGTTATCTACCCCAGAAGCCATGCCAATGAAGCTAATTTTGTGGAATATTTTGTTTACCAAATCATGCCAGATATTCTAGAAAATAAATGTGGATATAAACTGTGTATTTATGGGAGAGATATATATCCCGGAGAAGGTAAGTTTCAGATCAGATAATGCACAGAATGACTTGTCAAGCTTGAGCAGACTGTGGTTCTAGTCCCTTTTAGGGGTATAGGAGGTCCCTTTACATTCCTGAGCTGGCTGCTCATCTCCTCAGCAGCTGTGTGTCTGCTCTTTCAGGCGGGGTGACGCAATGGCACTCTGTGCTTGCCCGTGTGCTAAGAAAAGCAAGCTACAGGGCAGGGGCACGGATTGTTTATCATCTTCTTGGGTCGTGCAGGAAATGTGACCCCAAGTGTCACTCTTTTAAACATACACCTGCTCTTTGGGTAGTGTAGCTCTGCATAGCCATTATCTGGGCAAAGCCACAGCCGAACCGTGCATGAGTAGGTCTACAAGACACGGAAGAGGAGAAAACCACATACTAAGTTGAGAAATTAACCTTGCTGTTACCACTCAGGGTTTTTCAACCTGTTATGAGGGTGTCAGAGTCACAGGAAGTTCACCTTCTGTTCACTGACGTGACCTCCTTTCTCTTCACATGATTCCCAGCGCTAATTCAGGAAACAGCTGGTATTCTTTATGCCCGCTTCCTTGTCTTCCAGAATGGAATCATGTTAATTAATCTGTGCTAATTTCCATATGGACACCTCTACACTATCTCTTATGATTGCTGTCATCTAGGTGCTATCTGCTTTCCTTCAGAGCTGACTTGTCTGTTTATTTTGTGCTCTGGTTATTCTGTGGACCAGATCTTCTCTCCCTGTCAGTAAGCAGGCAGGAAGCCAAAGCTGACACATTTTCTGTTACACATTTCTGAAATCATCTGCATTGGGCCAGGTGTCTTTCACCTGCCCAGAGCTGGGCTGAGATCTTTGATGTCCTTCTCTTCTGGAGAGTGGCAAAAGTGCTGCCTGGCCTTGAGAAAACCCACTGCAACAAGAATGTAAAAAAAGCTGCAAGAGTTGCTGAGCCAGACCATTCCCAGCATGCCAGATCCAGAACAAGGAACTAACAGTAGCTCACAAAACTGTCAATGACAAAAATTTATGCCACCTGTTCAGGTGATTAGGGACAGGGCAATATTTTGTTATGGGACACCGCTCTCAAACTGTGGTTTATGGATGGCAATCCTGAAGAAAACTGAGCACAGCACGCAACTGAGCTGAAGACTGCGGGACTAACAAGGGCTCTAATAAGTTGGCTGAAAACAAAGATGTTTTCACTGTACAAAGGTATAAATGGATGCCTGTAACCCAGAAGTGACAGACAGAAGACTCGCCAAGCCAGCCTTGGACAGTGAGTACCTTTTGTTTGACTTGTTCAGTCTGATTTAATCAAAACTCTCAAAATGTCCTGAGCATTGACCATTGTCCTTCTTTTTCTCTTCTTGCCTACTTTCCCAGCCTTCTGCTTTTCTCTTCCTTGTCCACTTTCATGCCCCAAAATGCTTCCACTTAGGTGGAAAAGCTATTCAGAATCTGCCTGCCACTGGGAGCACTTAGAAGTTCTCTGCTTCCACGCAGATGGACTTTACCTATACACTCCCCACTCTTATCTTCTGATCTTGAGCCTCTCATTACCAGGTCTCCAAATCCCAAACCTTACAATTAAAATATGCTAAGCACAGTAAAACAGGAAATGCCACTTCAAGTTACTGTGATCCTTCCTGAACACGTATCATAGCATTTGATGAATCATATTTTTCACTGTAAAACTCCATGTATTTCCAGAAAAAAAAGATTGCAGTGAGGATATAAAATGGAATTATTATGTCAAGACATGCTTATGACTCTTAGTTCCAGGGCAAAGCTTTGTTACTTGAAACTTGTGTTCTTCCAGTAAAAAGGAAAGTTAAACAGAATGATTCAAGTGATAAACAGCACTGCATAGCTGTCGGATTTCCATTATGCTTCCCTAAACTAGCATTCTTTTTGTTTCCTGGCCTTACTGATTAATAGCGTTTTCTACAACCTAACAGTTGCCTGAAGAGGTGCAAATGCAAGTATTACGCAGCAAACCAAGACTTTTCACCAGCATCACCTTCTACTCTGTTCTTCTCACGGTCTCATTGTCCTGCCAACCGCATTCCTTGCTGCAGAATCTAGCCAAACACTGCTGGAGCTGCTGTATCTGTAATACACAAAATCATGAGCAAATAACAGAGGAATGATCATACTTCACTGGAGCAGTGTTCTGTGTAGCCAAGTGTCCTATCTTCACCACTGGCCATGGGCAAAGGACTGGAAAAGACTAAGAACAGGGCAAGCTTATATTATGCTTCCATTAATGTACTCTCCCAGCAGTGTGTGGACTTCAGATGCTCGAATTTTTGTGTGTAATAGCTGCTGATGGATTTTTTCTTTCACAGTATTTTCTGTCACTTTCTGAACTCTCATAAACTTCTAACATTGATGAAACAGGTTGCAATGAATCCCTTGGTTAAAGTATTTGCAGCATGCAGCCCCATTTTCCCTCTTGCCACAAGTATGGCATCAGAAATCCAAATGCAGAAGTGAATACCTCCCCAGATCCATGGTCTTTCAGTCCTGAGCACAATGGACTGCACCTCAAAACTGAGAAAGATGTTAACAGTGTTGTTATTATGGGAACAAAACATGAAAGTAGCTGCTTACCTTAATTTGTATCACCTTCCAAAGGATCTATTCTCCTAGCATCAGGAAAATTTAATGAAAAAGAAGAAAATGAAAGGAGTTGAACTGGTGAACATCACAGAAAGGCAAATTATTTTCATAGAATACTCTCAGAGCCAAGAAATAGGACAGAGGAGTCATTGAAAGGGTTCTCTTCCTGACCCAGGAGCTGAAAAAGCTGGGCCCCTCTGAGGCTGAGAAGAGCCTTGAAATGGGCTGTCAGCCCCCAGCAAAGGAAAAGAGGATGCATATGCAGCTGGCTGATGACATCTGCAAATCAATGGCTTTGTTAAATAATTGTCACATTGAATTTCCTTAGCTCAGCTCCCACCTCCTTTCCCTTGGCCCAGCACGACATGCTCCCACCAAAACAACTCCAGCTTTCATTCTACAGACCACAGGAAATGCTTCTAACTGGGATGAGTGTTTCGCTGGACAGGCATTCATCTGCAGTGTTCTTCCCATAGACGTCACAGCAGGTCATCGGGAAAAGCAGCTCCTGGAGGCTTGATGTGGAGCTCTCCAAGTCACCCCAGAAATTTCTCCCATAGCATGCTAGCTCTCAAGTGTCCTAGGTTCAACACCTCCAACATCACTGTCCCAGTTGTGGTTGATCAGCTCTCCCTAACACACCGGTGGGAAAGAGAAACACCTTCAGTCATGCTGACATACAAATGCCCTGCAAGTCTGGATCCACCCCCGCAGGGCAGATGCCAACCCAACGCACAGGTTAGCGTATAAATTAGCATGCTATCGCTCAGGAGAATTAACACTCCCTCTGCCCCTAAGTAAGCCTCTTAAGAAGTAAGTCACCCCAAAGTCTCCAAATGACTGTTTTTCATGGGTCAGTATTGCAGGATCAGTCTGTAAAGCACTCAACTTGATAGAACATGATTCCTTACATGAAGACTATTGATCAAGCACAAATTTGATGCAATCCAGATCTACTGAACTTGACCCTAGGTTGTTGGATTAGAAATTCCTAACAATTCTTAAGAGCAGTGAAAATATTAATGTTTCAACCAAAGGAAAGCTTTTGAAAACAATTTGAAAGGAAAGCTTCGGGTTTTTTGTTTTTGTGTTTTGTTTCATTTTGGTCTAGTTTGGGTTTTTTAAGCTTTTTTTCTAATGAATAAACTGTACCAGACTGAAGTGAGACAGAAGTTATTTCTGGTTAAAAAGCAATGCAAATGAAGTACCTAAACACAAAAGACTTTATAAAAGAAATTTCAGGGTCTCATAATTTTCTTGTTCATTCCTAGATACAGCCAGTGCAATTGAGAAGAGGATGCAGAAGAGCAGACGGCTGATCATCCTTCTAACACACCAACTGATTAATTGTAAAGAACCTGCTTATGATCAATACATTGCTTTATACAATGCCCTCATTCAAAATGGTACAAAGGTGATCCTGCTAGAAATGGAGACAATTGGGACTTATGAGAAGCTTCAGGAATCTCTTAGGTTTATTGTTAAGCAGCAAGGTACCATCAAATGGAAAGAGCAGCACACTGTGCACCCACAGTCATCCAATTCTAGGTTCTGGAAACAGGTGAGGTACCATATGCCACTGACACTCAAGTCCTCATACTCAGCTAATGCCAGGTGAACAGTGAGTCTGAGAAAATAGTGGTACGTTATCGGGATGAACCACATGTCTGCAGCTCCTTTTCCTTTCAGTAGGCACACGATTTTACAGTCTGGAAGTCTGGCTGTAATTTTGAAATTTTTTCAGTCCTTCAATTAAATAATGATAAGGTAAACTGATGGAGGAGGTCTGGGGAACTGAAGGAAGTTTTTATAGGTATGGGAGTTCTGTAAATAAATCATTCTAGGCTGCATGCAGAATTTTGCGTGTCACAGGAAACAAAATGTACCTTTCTTTCTATATATACTTGTACACATAACCGAAAGTTTTGATTCTCAATAGCTGAACGTTCTGCAGGTTCTTTACCTTTCTAATGCAGTTGTTCAAACGTAAATGCCTTCTATATGACTCAACTAGGAAGCGCAATGTGTATTATTCAACTAGAAAGTATAATGTTGTGCTTTTGTTCATTTTTTCTGCCACTTACTCCTTTTTGATTCAATAGTCATAGTAATACTATGAAATGTTATTCTTCCTTAGTAGGGATGCCTCAGTAAAGGCTCTTTTGAGACTGATGTGAATACAGCATTAAAAAAAAAAAAAAAAAAAGCAGTGTTAAGGGAAACAAATACATGCTGATATATATTTATATGCATTTTTAATATTATATATATTAAAATGAATCTCACACAAAGGGGAAATTTAAATCTTTCAAGTACAACAGACCATGCTGTTGCTATTGTTATTATCTCCAGAGAGAAATAACATTTTAAAATTTGTTTGGTTTGTTTTTTTTTCTTGTACACTGGTAGCATTCCTTTAAGCTACTGAAAAAGAGACTTACTGCATTTTTATAAGAGTCAGTATCCACCTTTCTTTTTTTTTTCTGCTTTGACCTTATGCCTAGTTATACTTTCTTCTGATAGGGAATACCTTGAGATGCAAAGATCAGAGCCAAATCTCCTTCTAGTTCAGGGGTGTATGAACAAAACATGTTCTAGTACAGATATCTTTGCGAATCTTAATCTTTTTAGCTTCTTAAAACCAGGAATTTTCTTACTGTTGGCGAAGGCTTGGTTTTGAGCTTCAGGCTTGTTACAGAGATGGACTTAAAAAGTGAAAATTAGATGCAGAACATCTAATGTTACCAAGTCCAGGCTTACAGAGTAGGCAAGTCTTTTCCTTTTACTGTAAGTTTTTATTGAATGTGGATCTTCAGACTTATGGATGGCTATTTGTAGTAGGAAAAATGTGTATGCAATATATACATATGTATGCAGTATAGATTTTTTTCCAACATTAAATTAAAAGATCTATGGCAAACTAAACAGCTTTTCACTGATGAGTTATAATTTCTAGTGTTCACGCACTCATCGCTCACTATAAAACATCTAATGTGTATTATTGCCTCATTAGATTGTGTTGGGTCCTGTTCCTCTAGATAAACCTCACTGTCTCTATGGAAGCTCCACAAAATGGATTCATGCCAATGTAAGTGTGGTTTATTCCTACAGTACCATTTCTTTCCACAGAAAGAATACTAACACTAGTGTGTGTGTAAAGGCAGGAAAGCCTGTTGCTTTTCACTATGAAGATTTTTCACAGCAGCTTCTGGGCAAGACAGAATATTCACTTCCAAGATTATTACAAGATCAATTTTTAATAGAGTTTGAGTCCTGGGCACTTAATGAGGAAGAAAGGACAATAACCGAGTATCTTGGAAACAAAAACTCTTGCATGAATTGTGAAGTTGGAAAGGGTAAGAGGAGAAGGTACAATGAGGAAGTGCACAGGGTCAGCAATGAACCAAATTACTCTGAAACATACTGATATCTCATTGACTTCTGTTAGCCAGGCATGTAGTTATGGTGGTGAAAACCAAACTCACTAAATGGCTCTTGTGGTGACACTCCTTTTGTATCAAGCCTCATAGTTAACCAAGAAAAGAGGAAAACAATATCAAGCAAAACCTGACAACTCTTAGTGTGGTTTACCAGCAGTGAACAGTATGGCCTTGACAGAAAGAAAAGGGGCAAATTCTGAGAGTGGCAAAGAACTTTTACAGAACCAGGGGGTAAGTATGTGACTGTAATAATGACAGAAAAATACCGCAGCCGTCACTTCTTTTTGTATTCCTTGGTGGTTAGTAAAGAAATCTGAGATATGCATTAAGATTAATGTCTTTCTACAGATGTTATCACATTTGTAGTGTTAAAGAGAAAGCATGAAGAGAACTATGGAATACTTTTACAACATCATTACAACATCACCACTGCTGAGGCCACACCTGGAGTCCTGTGTCCAATTCCGGGCTCCTCAGTAGAAGAGAGACAGGGACATACTGGAGAGAGTCCACCAAAGAGCCATGAAGTTGGTGAAGGGACTGGAGCATCTGTCCCATGAAGAAAAGCTGAGAGAGCTTGGACTCTTCAGCCTGGAGAAGGCTCCCATCTGAAGGGAGGATGCAAAGAGGAGGGAGTGAGGGTCTTCTCAGTGATGCCCAGTGACAGGACCAGAGGCAACAGGCACAAATTGAAACACAGGAGGTGCCCTCCAAACATCAGGAAACACTTTTTTACAGTGAGGGTGACCCAGCACTGGCACAGGTTGCCCGGGGAAGTTGTGGAGTCTGCATCCTTGGAGATATTCAAAAGCCACCTGGACACAGTTGTGGGCAACTGACTCTAGGTGGTCCTGCTTGAGCAGGGAGGTTGGACCAGATGACCTCCAGAGGTGCCTTCCAACCTCAGCCATCCTGTCATTCTGTGAAATGCGACTTAAAAAGAATCTAAATTTTCAAAAACATGTTTTTAAAGAAAACTGGCAATTTTTATTTCATATTGCCTTGGATACAAACAAAGTACACTAGGCAGGCTGCCTTAGTGGAATAACAGAAGGACAGTCTGCCCTGTGCAAAAAAATCTCACCTTTCACCATAGAAAGCTTATAGAAGAATCAGTTAGGATGCTTAAAGCTTAAACTACACAGAACAAAGGTAATTTTGTTGCTGAATTAGAACTTCCACGTAGAGATTTAATGCCCTTTAATTTCTGCTCTGTGCTTCCCTGTTTTTTGTACTTCAAGTGGCTCCGGAGAGCAGATTTGCTTTCACTTGTTTATAGAGCAGAGTCATCATGCCATCTAGTGGATGAGCAGGTATCAAGAGACTCAGACCAATTAGAAATAAATCAGTTCAGAAAAGCATTAGAATTAAACAGAGTGAGATTTTCAGGGTGTGCATACTGCTGTTATCTCCTGAAACCCATACAGCATTACTCATAAACAGCAGGTCAGAATCTGGCATTGAAAATACAGCGCTGACTCTCTTATAATAACATATTTTGAAGGAACAATAGTGTCTCCTTGCCATATAACTGCAGTCATACAGAATTGTATGTCCCCAGTTGTAAAATCTTATCTCTGGATACTTCATATCTGAAAAGTATATGCTCCATTGCTGACAATAAAGAAATAACAGAGAGACAGGAATAAGCATTGACTTCACTGCCACTAATGTCAGTGGTGAAGCTCCTGGTGACTTCCAAGGTATGGAAACCAGCTCCTGCTAATATGAAGTAGGATAACTGCAGACAGCACTTAGAACGTACTGCCCTCCTCACGTATGCATGTAATATACACCAGCCCTTTGTGTGAACATATTTAATGGTTTGGCCTTCAGGTCTCCTATACTGCTGAGATTTGAAGTTGCTACAGCTCAACGAACCATGACCCCTGCTGGCTTCTTCACCTAAACCACAGTCCTGAAAAGCCAGCCTAGCTATTGCTCCTGCCACATGCAGAGAGAGAGTTTCACCTATATTTGCTTCACATGGTTGTGAAGCCCAAGAGACTGACCACTAGAAGGAAGGTTTTAAAAGTTTTTGTAGCAGGCTATTATTTGCAGTGTATGCAACATTCATTTCTTACAGCATTGGACAAAGGTATGTTTGGAATATGTAAAATTAATAGTATATTCTATCAAAAAATTGTACATGTACAACTGTATGTTCCTGACTCTTTCAAGGGTTGAAAAACTACAGCTGTTGTGTTCAAAACGTGCTTATGTGTTCCCTTTTCCCACTTTAAAGCGTGAGTTACATGCCTAATTTTATATGAAAGGCAGAATTTGTTGTAGAGCAGTTTATTCTTTAAAACTGTTTCCAGTCTTTATAGATCTCCTGGAAAGGTTATGAAGCAATCCTCCTTGAAGCCATTTCACAGTACATGAAGGAGAAGAAGGTGACTGAATTTACAAAAGGCATATCATGCATATCAAGCCATGCCGTGGGCAACGGGAGAACGCTGGATGCTGCATACCTTGAATTGAGCAAGGCCTTTGACACAGTCTCTGTTGGTGAGATACAGATAAGCGGGCAAAGGTGAGTGGAAAAACAGCAGGGCCAAAGTCCATGCGGGGTCAACATGTCCTGATCAGTATACTAACCTCATCTCACAGTAAATTACTAGTGGCATCCGTCAGGGACTAATATTGGTACCGCTACCGTTTAGCATCCTTATTAATGACCTTGGCAGTGAGACAGACTGCACAATCAACAGATTTTCAGACAGAAGAACAAACTGGGGAAGGATAGGTGGACACATTGGAGGGCAGGGCTGCTTTTTTGGACAGAAACAGACTGGAGAAATGGACTGATGGGAAACTCATGAGGTTCAACCCACATGCAGAGTGCTGCATCTGAGATGGAACAAACCCATTCAACAACACAGCCTGGACGTCAACCCAACACAAAGTAGCTTTGCAGAGAGAGACTGGATGTCCAGGTTGACACCAAGGTGAACATGAGTCAGCAGTGTGTCCTTGTGACAAAGGCGACCAACTGCACCCTGCACCTTACTAGTGAGAGTGTAGTTGAGGAAAGTAATTATTCCCCTGTATTCAGCATTTGTGAGATTATCTCTGGAGTGCTTTGTCAAGTTTTGGGCTCCCCAGTACAAGTGAGGCGC